GGATGAGGAAATCCTCTCAGCTATCAACAACCTTGGTCAGGATCGGTGCTCCGGGTCCCGACAGTTTCCCGTTGGCCCCTGTGAAAATCTTTGGAACTCTTTCACTCATGACCTCCTCTCCCTTCTTTGAGGAGTTTTGCAACAGGGGCACAGTTGACAGGGCAGAACAGCTGAAGGACTTCCGCCCTTGTTCCTTTACCTCCCTTGTTCCTAAACTTGAAGGGGCAGAACAGCTGAAGGACTTTCGCCCTAACAGACTCATAAACTCCTCCTAGAAGATCCTCTCCAAGAACCAAGCAACCCGCCATAAGGAGGTCCTCTCCCAAGTCATCCCCCACCCCCAAGGGGCTTTTGTCAAAGAGCACCGACTCTTGATGATGCCTTAATAGTCCACGAATGCATCCACTCTAGACATCTATCGAAAACTCCTAGCATCATTGTCAAACTCGATTGCGAGAAGGCTTATGACCATGTTGATTGGTCGATTTTGGACGACACGCTGTCGAAAATGGGGTTTGGGGTGAGATGGCAAGAGGCTGCATTTCCAAAGCCTACGTCTCCATCTTGATCAATGGCCCCCCAAAGGCTTTTTCCCCTCCTCTAGAGGTCTGAGGCAAGGGGACCCCCTGTCTCCCTTCCTGTTTGCCATTGTCACAGAGGTCTTTAGCCAGTCCATCACGGCCTCTTGAATGGCTTCAAATGTGGACCTAGGGGCCCGGTTTTAACCACTATAGTACGTAGATAATGCTCTAGTCTTCTGTGATGCCTCCCACCAGGAATTAGACTCTCTCTTCCTCTTTCTCAGATGCTTTGAATTCGCTACTGGGTTCAAGGTCAACCTCGACAAATGGAAGATGATTGGAGTGGCCTTGGACCCAGAAACCACTATAGATTTTGCTACTAGATGGGGGATGCCAGGCTGACTCCCTGCCATGTACTTACCTGGGCCTTCCGCTTTGTATTTGCAAACCGAAGAAAAGACAGTCGACCCTTATCATAGACGAGGTCGACCACAGGCTTGTGGGTTGGAAGGGGTGCTACTTATCGTCGGCAGGCAGTGTCACTCTCATCAAAGCAACCCTCTCCAATATTCCAGTTTGCCATCTGTCCCTTTTTCACATGCCTGCAGCAGTTTTCAATGCCTAGTACAACTCATGTGTAACTTTCTTTGGTCGGGAGAGGCTGATTGCAGGAAGTTCCACCTCATTTCTTGGGACGTGGTCTGCCTCCCCTTTTGCCTTGGAGCCCTAACGATTCGCAATTTGAGGAAACATAATACTGTCCTGCTTGGTAAATGGTGGTGCCGTTTGGCTACCCAAAAGGACCAGCTGTGGATGCAAGTCATCTGGCATAAATATGGCCTTGACCCCTCCAAGTGGATTCCCTCTGGCAGGGCTAACAGTAGATCGTCGGGAGCCTGGAAGTCTATACTCTCTTGTCTCTTCTCTGAGTCTTTTTCAAAACGACATCCACTTCCACCCTAGGGAGGGCCGTCGCATCAGATTCTGGTCTGACCTTTGGATGGGCCATACACACCTTCGAGATCTCTTCCCCTTCCTCCACTTCCTGGCACTCAACCGCCTCTCCTCTGGGGCTGATGAAATGCCTCTCACAGGCTCTTCTCATGTGTGGAACACTTCCTTTCGGAGACCCTTAACTGAATCTGAGATCTCCAACTTCCTCAACCTCTCCTCCCTTCTCCATTCCATTTTCATCGCCCCCAGGGCTCAGACCTTATCATTTGGTGCCCCTCACCCTCCAGTGTCTTCTCGGTCTCCTCTTTCTACCAGAGGCTCCTTCAACCTCCCACTTTCCCCTTTCTCCCACCTCCATCATTGCCGACCCTCGTCCTCCATTGCTCCCCCCAAAGTTCAAGTGTTTAATTGGATGGCTCTACTCAGAAAGAGCACTTACAGTGGACCAACTTCAACGCAGGAGTCTGCCCATCCCCAACAGGTGCATGATGTGCTTAACCGATGAAGAATCCAACCCACACCTTCATCCACTATCCTATGGCTCTGGAACTATGGTTGCCGTCCAACTGTTCGGGTGGCAATGGGTAACCACCTAAGTCGATTCCCTTCTCTTCAGATCACTTCAATCCTTTCCCTGGCCCAAAGCCAGCATCCCTTTGTGGAAGGCAGCGGTGGCAGCCACTCTCTGGGTCCTATGGATGGAAAGAAACAATTGGATTTTTTGTTGCGAAAGGTCCACTTTCTCGGCTTTGTTTGACAAAGTTAAATCCATGGTAATATTATGGGCGACCAACCACAAAAGCTTCAAGGGAGTCCTATACTTCGCTTTTGTTCAAGACTGGCAGGCTTTGATGCTGAGGCAACAACACACCCCTCGGGCCTCCCTGTGGAGACCACCATAACCAAGCTAGATGAAGCTAAACTTTGACAGTTGTTCCCTTGGCAACCTGGGTCTCTTTGGCATTGGAGGTCTAATCTGGAATCACGAGGGCCACATTCTCCTTTCCTTCTCCAAACATTGGCCACTCGAACTCTCAGATGGTCGAGGCTTTAGCCTTCTCGAAGGGCTTAGTGACTCTAAGAACATTATTTGGTGGGCTTTGGGCTTCTCCCATTGCCTCTGGACTTAGCTTTTATTTTTTATGAGATTACTCACATTTGCAGGCCTATGGTCGTCTCATGGAGGCATATCTGGTGCTAGGCCAACACAGAAGCCGACACCCTCAGGAGGGGGTGCTTAACACCATAGCATGACTTTTGTAGCACCATTTCTTTCTCATGCTGGTTTCCTAAGGGGCAGGGTGCATCGTTTTGATTGGTCCCCTTTGTTCTCACTCTCTTGGTGATTTTTGTATAGGGCTGTGCCTTATGGGCAGCCTGTCTTTTTTGTATAGAGCTCCCACCTCTCGGGAAGCTTATTTTTTGTATAGAGCTCCCAGCTTCCATTCCCCATTTGTTTCAAGCTTTTCTATTTACTCCCTGGCCCAAGGCAGGGAGAGTACTTTGGAAAGCTTCATCTCAGCCACTGGAAAGCTTCTATCTCAGCCACAATCTAGGTACTATGGATTGAAAGGAATCACAGAATTTTCAGGGGTGAGAGATCCACAGTCGCAGTGTTGGCCGAGAAAGTCAGGAACCTAGTGGTCTTCTGGGCCACAAACCACAAGCTCTTTAAGGACTTCTCCTTTACTGATTTTCATAGCAACTGGCAGAAATTGCTGCATCTAGCCTGCCTTAGGATCTCGCGGGCCTCGCTGTGGAGACCACCTGAACTGGGATCTATTTAGCTTAACTTTAATGGTTGCTCCCTAGGCAACCCTGGACCATCTGGAATTGGTGGCCTCTTTCGATCTAGCAATGGATGCATTCTGCTATCCTACTCGCGCCCTATTGGTGTGGCGGACTCTACTCTTGCTGAGGCCCTTGTCCTCTTGGGAGGCCTTCACAAGTTTGACCACACCTAGAGTTCGGACCTAGTGGCGGAGGGACACGCCAAGAACGTCATCACTTGGGCTTCTAATCTCTCCTCTTGGCCATGGTGTCTCGATAACATTTTCGACGAAATCTCCCAGTTAACCCGTGGTTACAGAATCTCATAGTGCCATGCTTTTAGAGAAGCCAACTCTGACGCAGATCGATTGGCTATGGAGGGGGACTTATTCTAATTCCCCAATGGGGACTTAGGCTTTTGTGGCCACTCCTTTCCTTCCCGCTTTATGAGTTGTTTCTCTCATTGTATACTCTTTTGGACCCTACAGGGCTATGTATAAAGTGACCCTTCTGGGTCACCATATTACCATATTTTTTGTATACTCTATTATTCAGTAATGCAACTGTAGTGAACCTTACCCAAAAAAAAAACAAAACAGTCAATGTCATATGACCATCCTCCCTTAGCTACAGTCGACTGCCTTTCCATTTTTAAAGACATGAGGACCATTTGGTCCTTAATCCAAGCTGGGCAAGTCATTAAAGACATAGTACCCACACTCTTGCTATTGGCGGAAACATTAGTTTATGGAGCCACTGAGCACAACCCCTGATCTCAAGTGTGTCCAGTCATGTAGGGGCCTCACTATTCCTTTGATTATACCTACAGTTCAAATATGCTGTTGTAATGAATTGTTGCTATGGGGACATGTTCTAGTGATGGAAGGAGATTAAGGAAATTTTATTTGACAAACAGATCCTCTATGTGCTCTTGGTGCTTGTTCCGCATTTTTGAAGAAATCTTCCAGCTAAGTAGGGCCATCATGCAAGGCTAATGAAGTAGCTGATAGCCTTGCAAAACAGGGGGCTTCAATTAACTCCCTTCTCATTGTCCACTTTGAGGAGGGGATAGCAATTTTCTAACACCCACACTTAATGAGTGAGTGATTTTTTTGTCTTTTATTTTCTTGATCCCAAAGTTTTGTACCAAGCAGTGTTGTGTCCCATGACTTGGGGCTGGCAATCATTACAATTCTAACACACTTACTATTAATGTAAATATATACAGTTAACTTTAAAAAATTTAACAAAAATACTCGTTGCTTTGGGACCCGTCAGTTATCCTAACTTCCCCACTGAGGAAATAGATGATGAGTACCAAATCGATTTAGATTTCATAATGGAATCTAAATGAGTTAAACTGAGCCATGGTATGCAGTCTTGCCACACACTAAGGCCCTTGCAAATAGTGGCGAAGTTCTCCATAGTTAAACTTACAAGAATGCAAACCAATGTTGTCACCCCTTAAAGAGTAATTTAAGTCAAACTATCTTGGAGCTAAAAATGTGCACAATGATACTCTCTTGGGAGATGATCTTGATAAACCCATTGATTGTTTCCATGCCCTTTCATTTTTGGACTGCATTTGTCTTTTTATTTGTAGGTCAGAATCTGCATATTGGGTTTTCATGATGTCATTGTATATTATTTGTTTGTATGATGATATTTCCTGTCAGCATATAAACTGCTGTTTCCATACCTTTTTGTTCATACACTAAAAGGCATGCAATTGTTTGGCGGTTTTGTACATCATAGAATCACTGTGACTTTCGTGGATAAGGATGGTGAGGAGAAGCAAATAAAGGTCCCTGTTGGAATGTCCATGTTGGAAGCTGCCCATGAAAATGATATAGAACTTGAAGGTATATATGCTTACAAATTTTGCCATTCATTTATCTGATAAGTGAGTTATGTAATTTTTTTTTCTGGGAGAGGTTCTAGCACTGTGATAGGGGTCCTCTTTTTGTAAGTGTTCAGGTTTGTTGAAGTTTTTTGTGATTTCTCCATAATCTTGATTACCTTGACTTGATGGTAGTTCTTTATAAGAAAAATGAACTTAGCTCTCTGATAGAGGTGTTCTTTGATATATAGGAGCATGTGAAGGATCCCTTGCATGTTCAACTTGCCATGTTATTGTAATGGTATGTGTGCAGATTTCAATTTGCCTTCTCTGATTTTATGGGTTGTTTGGTTATGAAATTTTTATGATCTAAAGGTGATTCATCATGGTCTCATATTTCTCATCTATTAGGATGTGGATTATTATAACAAACTGGAAGATCCAGCAGACGAGGAGAATGACATGTTAGATCTTGCCTTTGGACTCACAGAAACGTGGGTCTCTCTCTCTCTCTCACACACACACACTAGTTGTTTAGATGTTATTGAAGATCAAAAAGGTCTTTAACTTTCTGTGTATGCATAGGTCTCGTCTGGGTTGTCAAGTGATTGCAAAACCTGAACTTGATGGGATCCGCCTAGCTCTCCCAGTAGCTACCAGAAACTTTGCAGTTGATGGATTCGTGCCCAAGCCTCACTGAAATTCAAACAAAACAATCCCGCACCCAACAACCCCAGTTGATATGCTCTTTGAGTGCATAGAATCTGACCATCTCAATTTTGTACTATCGTCAGCATTCAGGTTTATAAGTGGAAGGCTTTCGGTTCTTACTATCTCTGCTTGTTTGAGATCAATCCCTATTAATCACAGTGGCTGATATTTCCTGAGGTTAACTGCATTTGTCTTGTCAAATTATGTATTGTCTTTTTTGAATGGGTTGCCATCTATAATTATTCAAAATAAAAATTGGCAAATGGAATTTGGGGGCTTGAAAGTGGGTCCTTTGAGAACAGGCACCTTTTCGGAATCGTGCCCACATGACTCTTATCCTTGTTATCTTGAAAGTCTGGTCTTTTCAGCACTAGGGTCTTCCTTCGATAGAATTCTGGATTCGATGTCTATACCGATGCATTACAAAACCCTAATTCTAGGTTACTCCTCTCTCTCTCTCTCTCTCTCCCCATTACGAAAACCTAATTCTAGGTTATCCTTTCCCTCTCTCTCTCTCAGCCACCAAAAACTAATTTCATGTTATTCCTTTCCACAAAAAGTTGTCTCAGGCAACCATGCGTGCACACACGAGATAAAACATTAGAGAGGTCTTGGCCCTTTTTTGCCTCGTTTGAGTGGCGATTAATTATGAGATGGGGATTCTGAAGTAACCACCACAACATTTAAACTTCTCTTCCATTGGTCCACCACAATCTCCATTCGAGCCTCTTATTTTTTGGATGGTTTTTTCATTTAGGTAAGCTGTTTTTTTTTTCCCCTTCTCTGGGGAACATAGGTGGGCTGGTTGTTTTAGTAGGGCCAAATTTTGTGAACTGACCTCTCTTGCAAGGCGGCTACAAACCACTAAATAAGTTACTGCCCCCAAATACGGTTGATAAGATGGTGTCGACTAAGTCTTGCCATTCAATCTATTGGTTCTCGACCCTACTTTCATAACCTAACCAGGAATTTTAGGGCACGCTTGTTTCTTGTAAAAATATTTTTTGTTCACGAGAGAGAATTTCTTCATTGGCTAGTGTGAGAATATTTTTATACCAATTGGTCTTAATGCTTTTTTTCATACCAATTGGCACCTAATTAGTGTAAAAATAGTCTTACATCTAATCATATAAGAGAATTTTTTCATGGGAAATATTTTCACACAATCCAAATGTACCCTAGTGTTTTGATTTGCCAAGCAACAACCTTCTCTTAGAACCGGTGGGTGTAGTGGTTTGGGTCTAAAGACCATAGTTATCAGAACTGGACTGAACCGGTTATTTGATCGGTTAGACGGCCTATCGGAGTCTTGGTCCATCTAGTTCAAGATAAAATTTGGATTTGGTAGAAAACCAGTTAATATAATGTTTGACCGCGTTTGGCTTGTTGGACAAATCGGTTTGACCATCAAAATAAAAATAGGTACAAATTTCAAAAATTATTTTACTTTTTTTTTTTCTTTTATAAAATCTTGTTCAACTAATTTGACCCGTTGTTGGACTAGTTTTGATTGGAGCATATCCCTCATTGATTCAATGATCATTCCAATCTTTATAACACTGTTGAAGACCCTTAGTTTTCTGAAGGGTTTTTATGCAAAACACCCTAGAGAGCTGGAGTTCCTCGGCCCAGCCAGTGACTGGTCGACAACACTGGACTAAACTAGCCCAATGTGGATGACGTGACCTTTTCGCTGTTCATGAACTTTTATGGCCTTGTCTTTCTCCTTTGCATCCTCCATTTGCTCATCGCCACATGAGTTCCTTAAAATTAATCGTACTACCAATCCAGCAACGAAAGAAAAAGATAATAGATTTGATTCTTGAGGTTTGGTTGTCACACCAAGGTCGTGCATGATGTAAGTGCGACTACTGGCCGGGTCTAGTTTGGGCCAGCCTGGCCTTGCTAGAGCCAGGCCAGGCTAAAAACAAATGAAAAAAACAAGGGGCAGGCAGGGCCCAGCTGCCGAGCCCATTGGCAGGCCTAGCCAAGATGATCTACGCAAACAAACAAAAAAAAGTTAAACACAAGGGTTACATCTTTTAGTTTGATTAGCCTATGCCGATAAATATCATCAAGTGGTATCTCCTGAAAGTCACAAGACCAGTTAGTCATATTGTCAATCTCTCTACTTCTTTTGATTTATTTATTTATATTTATTTTTTTAAAAAAAAAATTACAAAAAAACCTCTTGACGTGACTTTCTTTACAACTTAACCCCAACCAACTTTCTTGTACCAAAATTTACCTCAAAACAAGCTTTTCTAGCAAATATTCCCTTGATCAAAAAATTATAATTTTTAAGACCAAAATGCCTTCTTTCTTCTCTAACACCGACTACTTTATTTTTCTCATAAAACGCAAAATGGTGGTCAGAAATTATAAACAAACAGTCTGGCAATATCCCAAAGCGGTTCGACACTGACAAAGAGTGGTTTCGCAATAGGCCCATGCAGTCTGGCGCTACCAAAGAGCAGTCCAGTACTTTTTTTAGTTTAACATGGGTCTGACAATTGGTACATGGCGGTCTGGCAGCCCATGTAGCTTTTGGCACTTTGCATAAGCCCACGTGAATGTCAAGCTAAAATTATTTTTTTAATATACAAAAAATGGTATTTTTGTCAATAAATGTGTGTTTTTTTTATTTGGGGTGTATTTGTTAGAAAAGTATATTTTGAAGTAAAAAGTGGGAAAAAAAGTTTTGTAATTTTCCCTTTTATTTATATTAATATTGGAAATGTACATATTCCCACACACATATCTGATTAAGAAAGAAGCAAACGAAAAACCATATGGAAAACCCAATATTCCAAGTGTGAAAGAGAACACAAAATTTAAAACAAATGGCTTTTAGATAGTGGTAAAAAATGCAGATGAGAAGTATAGCATAGTTCCTAGCTTTGGCAATTAATATAGGTGTCCTCAATGCAATTCGTAGGCATGTACACGCTCCAAAGCACCACAATGCTTAATGTCAACATAATACAGAAGAAATCCTCATGCTTAACCTTAATTTCATATACACTTGTACAAGAAATTACAAATATTTAAGGGTGGTTTCGATTCTAGGATATACAAAATCATGTTTTGCAAACCCAAGGTATTTCGCACAAGAATATGTTTAGACATTGTTTTGGGACCATCACATAATGTATTAGTAAAAAAGGGGGCAAAACACCAATACTCAAAAAGTAAAAAAAAATAGTTTGCATAATTTCTACTTTATCCATGATTAATAATCTAAACTATTCATACAAAACAAAAGTTACTATATTGTGAGGTGCGGATATCAAGTGTTCATCGACAAAGCCTTTTCATAACTAATTGGGATCGGCTATAGGAATCCTGGTCTACCGTTCTGAAAGAAAGACCTATGTAATCTTTTGCCGGGGAAATACAATTTTTTTTTTTAATAATAATCACCTCTTATAATTTTGGCAACAAGATCACTCACATATGGTCTTATTACAAACAATAGAAATTTCAAAAATAAATAACACATCAATAAAATAAATTTCAACTACTTGATGCCATTCATGCAACCTAATACTGTGCTTGAGAATATGAAATAAAAGAATAAAAAAATTAAAGAAAAGATGTTGGAGATTACCTCACACCGAGTCACCACATCCAATGACGAGGGACCAGCAGTCTAGTTTCAATCTCGAATCAGAAAAGCTAATTTCGACCAAACTAAGTAATCATCCTTAAATCTCTACAAAACTTTAACTCCAAAATAATTAGGCTCAAATCCTAATTTTCCCAACCATTAGATTAGAGAGAGAGTCTCTATGTTGGGGTGTGCCCCATAGGGTAGTGTAGAGAGAGAAAATCAAAGAGTAGAC